CAATATATATATATATAGATAGATAGATAGATAGATAGATAGATAGATAGATAGAGAGAGGGAGAGAGACGGATCCAAGCGACAGATTGAAAAAAGAAAGGATACGCGGGCGCATCTGTCCATGTTCTGGTGCGAAATTCATTCTCATTTTGCACATTTCGAGAATTCGAGTGGAGAGGGGGGGAGCGCAATGTCCCACGCCGAGTTTGGCGCACCAAACTCGACGTCAGACTCTCTGACGCCCTCTCTCTCTCTCTCTCTCTCACGATAATAAATCTTCCTTGTTATTGTGGAAAATTTTTCTCGCTGGGCATGTCTGATTTCCTTTTTGTTTTTTGTTTTTTTGTTTTTTTGTTGAATGTTGTATGTTTTTTTAACTTTTTTGTGTTTTTTTTTCCTTTTTTTCGTGATGTACTACCAATTCTCCAAGGCTCGGCAAAGAAGTCTGAGGCTCGGGAATGATTGGGCTACCAGTAGTCCGAACCTCGGACTTGATAGCTGAGCGAGGTACTAGTGGTTTTAAGGACCTGGTGAGAGAGAATTCCTCTGATTGCTGTCCGTTGACCATAACTGTGCTTGTCGCGTCAGAGTACATTGTATTGACCCATCGACAAAACGGCTGGCCGAAAGCCACGTGTTTCAGAGTGGTCATCACATAGGCCCATCCAACACGATCATAGGCCTTTTCCATATCAAGCAAGAGAATTGCCACATCCAGGTTATCCTTCGTGATAATTTTCAGGGCCTGAATGGTTACAGCAATGTTTTCAATTATACTTCTATGTTTCACAAAGGCCCCCTGTTCTTTACCAATCAGGTCTGGCAGGTATCTTGCTAACCGTAAAGCCAGAGTTTTTGCCAACAGTTTGTATGAAGCATTCCGAAGTGAAATCGGTCGCCAATTCTGGATTTCTTTCTTGTCTCCTTTTCTATACAACAGAGAAATTACCCCTTTAGTCATACTTTTACTTAATTTGCCCCCTGCGAAAACTTTATTAAATATACTCAATAACATTGGACCTAATTGAGGCCATAGAGCCATATACACCTCAAGCCTTACCGTTTCGCTATGACCGTGAAGCGGTATCCGAGAAGCGCTGACAGACTACTGCCGACAACGACACCGTGGAGTGCTCCGAGCGCCCATTGCCGCTGCCCCCAACACCCTTCTCGGTCTATTCTTAATAGTTCATATGTGTATCAACTGAACTACCGGGGTAGGCCCTTTGTTCGTATTTCGGTGATTGCCGAACCTTAGTTCTGTCAGAGGGGCCTTGAGGGGCAAACGAAATGTCGATAGTCATCTTGTAATTTTTTGGTGTGCGAAAATAAAAAAAGGCCTGAAAGGCCATCCTGGGGCACGGTTCCACTAGCACACGAGTCATGGCCTATTTCGACCTGTGCAGCACTGTAAGAAAAGGAAGAAAAATAATTTTAAAGACTTAAAAAAAAAAGAAAAATGGCGACGTTACATTTCCCAAGATGGGAAGCAGGCCAACTTTTGAAAGTGCCGCCGTCCCACTAACCCTTCCGTCTCCTCCCCCTGCTCCCCACCCAGCCAATGCTTGATCAGGACAGAGTGGTACGTGACTGTTGCAGTCTCACGTACCACCACGAGGGAGTCCCTTCGTGTGCCTGATGGGACTCCCTTCTCTGACGGTTGCCATGCTGAAGCGTGCATTTCGCATATTTTGAGAGAAAATCGAAGTACTGGATGGGGTTAACGATTGACCGGGAAAAAGAAGGGGTTCAAAACCATGCCGTTCGAGTACTTGATTTTTTTAAATCTTTTGAAGAGCTACCAATCAAAATGAGTCTTTCTATTTTCTTTTTCGGGTTTCCCCGCCTCCCATTCTTGGGAACTGGAAAAAACACACACACACACAAAAAAAACACACACCACTTCATAATATAAATCCCCCGCAATTTCTCTGCCATCCCATTCTCCTGCATCAGTGGTCGGACCATGTCCCGCAGATGACCAAAGGTGTTTGTGGGACACCGTTTTTGCCTTACTCCTTTGCTAGTGGAACCGTGCTCCTGTCCAGACTTGACAAGATTTTTTTTTATTTTTTTTTAAATAAAGGGCGATGGCCTTGAGGTATTATAATCGGACTAACCAGCCCACGTAAATTCAATCTTGTGTCTAATCTGACAACGGTGGCCTTTTCAGCCCAGGGTGGCCTGATAGCCTTAGGGTGGCCTGATAGCCTTCGGGACATCTGTTAAAATTGGAACGATACAGAGAAGATTAGCATGGCCCCTGCGCAAGGATGACACGCATAAATCGAGAAATGGTCCAAATTTTGACAGTTTTTTTTATTATATATATTTTTATTTTTTATCACACATATCTGTTTTTGTTTCACAAAATCTTCGAGGCCGGGGACCTCACAATTCAACCCGGTGTTATCCTGGCAGCATTAGCCAGTTTAGCTTACAGTCATATGACTGAGGACCGAACATTAAACACCAACACTGCAGCGTCTGACAGAACCATGAAAGAGCCCAGTTGCTTGCCTATATATTACTACTGTCCCACGTGTAGATGGATCTATGAAATTCTAACCAACTCAGTCTAACTTCCGTCCTCATCTAACTTCCCACTATGCTACCTATCTTAGCTTCCCTCTGCCGCATCACCTATATCCTAATACACAGACCTACTGTCTTGGCGGTCTGACCCCGGCCTACACCGACCGAGAGGAACCCGAGGTTCCTTCTAACATCTGGACACTCTCCTCCCTACCCTACCCTTTGCGGTCCACTGTGGCCGCCCACTGGAACCAAGTGTCCTGGTTCATAAAGAGGGTTACAACTCCCTACCTATTTCTCCCACCAGTTAGAAAAACGAATTCTGCCTCCCTCTGTAACTCCCACCACAGCCTCATTCACAGCCCAGGTATTCCGGAACCATCTCAGGGCCTCGCCACACCACTCTTGAAACCCGGTTTTCGAGAGTTGGAGCCATCGCCACACAGCCACTTGAGAGTTGCGGCCCGAAAACTCTTTCGAGAGTCGTCAGACCTCGTTTCGAGAGTCTACTCTCGGAACTCCTAAACGCCCAGCCTGCAATTCGTGCGTTTTCAAGCGTCCTCGACGGAACCCTTGAGGGACTTTCGATTTTCGAGAACTGTCAGGCCGTTATCCTAACTCCATTCGGAAAAGACAAAGCTGTACGACTGTCGTTTTTCATCCTTTGTCCAACACTACCGCCCTTTTGAGAGTGCTGTGTGGCGAAGGGGCCTCAACTCTCGAAAACCCAACTCTTGAAAAAGTCTGACAACTCTCGAAACATTTTCGCTTCTCGAGAGTGGTGTGGCGAGGCCCTCAGTCCCTCCCTGCTTTTCCCTCTCCCTGCCCTTTTCCTCCAGTCTGCCCGGATCTCATTTTGAAGTAATTTTTGGAACAGCTTTTCCGTGTGGGCTTCTGGCATTCTCTGTCCCTTGAATCTTTGGTCGTTGCGGTCTGCCCAAATTACCCACAGCATCACCGCTCTGCAGACCTGGGCTGCATAGCCCCACCCTTTGTTGGCCACCAGCCTCTCTGGTAGGGTCCCCATCAGTACCCAACGTTGTTCTTCTGACGGCTCCGACCTCCCTGACCACATCTTCCAATGTTTAAGCCACCAGTCCCACCACCTTCTTGACTTGGGACAGGCCCACCGTAGGTGGTGCATGGTTTCAAACAACCAATTACATCTGTCGCATGCCTCTTTTACTGACATTCCCCTCTTCCTCAGCCATCTAGCTACGGGGACTGCTTGATGTGATTGCAGCCACAACAGGTAATTGAATTGGTTGGGCCTTTTCAAAAAAAAAAAAAAAAAAAAAGCCCGCGCCTTCGGCGACCCGTCCGAAACGTATGGGACAAGCCTGTTATTTTGGCAATTGCCCGAACCTTAGCTCTGTCAGAGGGTCCTTGAGGGGCAAATCTCGAGGGTTAACTTGTAATTTTCCGGTGTGGGCAAATGCCCCTGGCTTTGGCGGCCCGTCCGAACGGTATATGCTGTCACGTCACGTACATCACGTCAGGTCACGTACCAGTGGCTGCAGCGTCGCCGACACAGAGGAGGAGGAGGAGAAGGAGGAGGAGGTGGTGGTAGTTCACCTTCGCCGCCTGGGCCCGCATGATCAGTTCCAAGTGAGTTCTGTCTTTATGACTTAAAAGTACGGGTGTCTCACGAGCCCGTCGCATGCTTCCCGCTCATGTTCAAGTGCACCTGGCCTCTGTTTCTCACCATCATTCTTACTGTTTGCTGTTATACACTCACGCGGATGGACAGAACGGCAACCGCACTACCACACAAAGAATTGTGTGACAACAAAGAGGGTGACAACGAAGGGTATGACAACAAAGAGTGTGACAACAAAGAGTGTGACAATGTGATGGGTTGCATACGGAAGGACAATGATGGTTATGATAGCCGAGGCCGTGCAGCGACTAAGTCCGAGGGGGATGGAGAGAACCTTCTTCTTGTTATAGCCCATCCAGACGACGAGTCGATGTTTTTCGCGCCGTCGATCCTTAGTCTTGTCAGCTTTGACGATGGTGAAGAATGGATGGCGATGACAAGGAAGAGAAAAGACAAGAACGAGGAGGAGGAGAAGGTGGTGGAGGAAGAGGAGGGAGAGGAGGAGGTGGAGGAGGAGGAGGAGGAGGAGGTGGGGGTGAAAGCTGGCGGAAGAAAAACCCGTTCAAAATGGAGAAGAAGGATGTTTGTCTTGTGTCTTTCCTCAGGGAATGCCGATGGATTGGGTGCGATCCGAACGAACGAATTGTATTCAGCTTGTGAAACGCTTGGAATAAGTAGGGAGGAGGTGGTAGTGCTTGACCTTCCAGGTTTGCAAGATGGATTCGATAAGAAATGGGATGAAGGATTGATATCTAAGCTCGTGGCTATGGCGGTCATTCGAAGTAGAGCGACGTCCATCCTCACGTTTGATCACCACGGGATCTCTGGACACCCTAATCACATTTCCGTTCATAGAGGAGTAGTTGCCTTTCTTGCCAATCAGTCGTCTCTGTTGCGTAGCGAACAATTAATGGCACGTCAGCCAGAGCAAACAGATGGAGGAGGAGGAAGAGGAGGAGGAGGAGGAGGAGGGGATTACAAGTATGAAGGGTGTGGAGAAGAGAGAAACGTGAGGAGCATTGAGGGGAAGGAGGATGGTTGGTGGCTTTTGGGAGAAGAGAGTAGTGGCGGGAAATGGTACGGTAGAGAGGAAGATAGTGGCGGGAAAAAATGGCGGGAAAAGGTTGAGGGAGGAAGAGTGGTAGTTGAAGGATGGGAACTTGTTAGTACTGGCTTGATTAGGAAATATATTGCTTGGTTTGATTTGGCCTTTTCCGTTTTGGAGTGCACTTTTTCGGGTCGCCGCGCTGATTGGCTCTTGTTCCGATCGCCGTCGGTCTGGACCGGGATCTCGGCCATGGCGAAACACGCCAGCCAGTTTGTCTGGTATCGCCGTCTGTTTGTCGTGTTCTCGCGGTACTCTTACATAAACACGTTGCGTCGAATGTCGTCGGTGTAATCAATCTTATGCGATCTCGCTTCAACTGTTCTGTTTTTTTTTTTTTTCTGTAATAATTATTGGGTCGAAAAAGCGCAATCGTGCCACGATGAACCAACCAACCATCACGGTACAGATCCTTCTATGTGTAAGAAATCACCGAATTGAAGAGAGGGAGAGAGAACGTGTAACAAGCAGAGCCCGACTGTTTGTGTGTGTGTGTGTGTGTGTGTGTGTGTGTGTGTGTGTGTGTGTGTGTGC